ACATGATTGTTGCTGAAAAGTTGCATTTAGAATTTTGACCCCATTTCTGTCACCTTTCCTTTTGCTTCTTGCCTGTCCTTAGCAGCTGTGTTTCCTTTGTCATTTATCTAGGCCTTTTCTTTCTTGTTGCTACAGGAATTGTCATTTGGACTTCTCCCCTAATAATGTCTCTGAATTCAGTCCACAGCATCTGGCTCATGGTCAGTTATGTTGAGTAATGCAAATCTGTTCTTTACATAGAGTTTAAATTCCTCAGAGGTGTTATTCATGTTGTACTTTGGGACTATATTTCTGTTGGTGATCTTTTTCAGCTTTATATTAAGAGTTTGTGGTCACTACTGCCATCAGCTCCTGGCTGTCTTTGGCAGTGAGAATACAGCTTCTCTACCTGTTCATTCAAATTACATAGTTTATTTCAGTGGTGGTGAACCTATGGCACACGTGCCACAGTGGGCACACAGAGCCCTCTCTGTTGGCATGCAAGCCAAGTCACCTCAGCATCTCCCCAGCAGCCGAGCATCAGATAACAGTGCACATAGGGGCCATGCGCATGCTCGGAAAGGAGTCGTGGTGCCAGGCAATGATGTCACAAGCCACAACACATTAGCCGCAACTTGTCTGGGCTTTTGCATGGCTGGTCAGTGTGCTGCCAAGGAGATATACATATATGTGTGTGTGTGTGTGTGTGTGTGTGTGCTTGGACTGGCTGTTTTCAGGTTTTATTGCAGTGTTGGCACTTTGCTATAAATAAGTGGGTTTGGGGTTGCAGTTTGGGCACTCAGTCTCTACAAGCTTCGCCATCACTGGGTTAGGGTTAGAAAAACAAGGTGTCCTGGCATGATTTTGATGGTTGGAATGTTTTTAGAATGGGCACAAATGATGAGCTGTGCAGAAAAAGCTACTCAAGGAAGGGTTTTTCAAAACTGCCCTATTTTCAACAGTATCTCACCCCTATATTAGGGTTAGGGGAGTGCAGCAGGGTAGGGTTAGGCCAGTGGTGGTGAACCTATGGCATGTGTGCCACAGCGGTCACGCAGACCCCTCTCTGTCGGCATGCGAACCAAGCTGCCCCAGCATCGCCCCAGCAGCCAAGCATTGGATAACAGTGCACATGGGGGCCATGTACATGCTCGGAAAGGAGTAGCGGCACCAGGTGATGATGTCACGAGCCATGACTCATTAGCTGCGACTCATCCGCGCTTTCACATCGCCGGTCAGTGCACTGCCAAGGATATTTTGTTTTTTGCTTGGACTGGCTGTGAGTTGTTTTTTCTAAACTAAAACCTCAGTTTTCAGGTTTTATTGCAGTTTTGGCACTTTGCGATAAATAAGTGGGTTTTGGGTTGCAGTTTGGGCACTTGGTCTCTAAAAGGTTTGCCATCACTGGTCTATTTGATTTCTATACTGGCCATTTGGTGATGTCCATGTACATAGTTGTCTGACTGGTTGCTTGAAATATGTGTTTGTGATAAACAGAGCATTGGCTTCACAGAATTTTTTAAGTCATTCTTTTTTGTTCCTGATCCCTAGGCCAAATTGCCCTACAGCATTTGATTCTGCATTGCTCTTACTTTTGTGTTCCAATCACTTAGGATCTTGTTTTGGTGTGTTATCAATTTCCTCTTGAACACCTGCATAAAAGTTCTCAATTTCTTCTTCAGCATCTGTTGTTGGAGCATATATTTGAATGATGGTCATGTTGATAGGTTTTCCACAAATCTGATTGTATTATTTGGTTGGATTTTGCATTATAGCCTTACTGTCTGAAGATTTACTGTCTTGCCTCAGTATTAGAGCTACTCCATTTTTCTGAGTTTGTCATTTCGGGAGTAAAACACTTTGTGTTTGTCTGACTGAAAATGTCCCATTCTAGTCAACTTTCATTTGTACCAAGTACTGCAATGTACTTTCTGCTTTATAGTTTCCAGTTTGCTGTGGTTCATACTTCTCATGTTCCAATGGTATGTGCTGTGCAGTGTCAGACTTTCCTCTCTGGGCATACCAGCCACTTAACTTTCTTTTGGCTTTGAGCTAATTTTGTCATTAACTACAACACTAGTCATACTTGTCCTTTGATCTTCCCCAATAGCTTGTTTAGTGCCTTCCAACCTGGGGGTCTCATCTTCTAGCATTATTTGTTGTTTCATTTTGAATTGTTTCATCATGGGATCTTCAAGGTAAGAAGATTCAGAAGTGGTTGACCATTGCCTTCTTCTGTGCAGTACAAACTAGAGTTAGCTTTAGCATGATTGCCATTGTCTGCAAAATATCCTCCACCAGTGTCACCTTCAGCTACCGCTGCTGCCAGTAGCTGCCCTTCAGCAGTTCTTCTGCCCCATCATTGTTAGAGATACCCCTTCTCTTCTGCTGATGTAACCACTGCTCCTGAAGAGGGTGGCTGCATATTAATCTGCTTTCTCCACCTTGACCATCCTGCCTTGGGTGACCCTGCTAGAAGAACAGCCCAGGGAGACAGTCCGGTCTCCTGACAACATTGCTCTCAGCTTCCCCGACACTCTCAAACCCTCTCACCATGTTAAGGTGTGCATCCCAGAAGGGGGTTGGGGAAGTAGTACTATCAAAAGACAAAGAAACACAGAACTTCTTCCTTGTGTCCAGTTTGAAGAGTTTAAGAGTGTGTGTGTGTGTGTGTGTGTGTGTGTGTGTGTTTAGAAGAGCAGACACTCCCATCACCATCAAACTGCTTTTAAACTGTGGCAATTGCTCCAGACCGAGAGAGGTGGCATGGTACAGGAGATTTTTCATGGGGCAGGGGTGTATTTGTCCCATATTAGATTTCTGAAGAGTGAAAACTGGTTTGTTTTCTGTTAACACTCATATCCTATAGGTATTTTGCCCGAAGTTAATACAGCTGATTTTACTTGTATGCTGGGTGGGTTATTTGTTACAGAGGAGTGTGGCCTGTGGTAGAAGCCTTCTAACAGAACCAGGAATGAGATGACAACCAAACACCCCCAGCAGTGGGGAGGGGTTTCTACAGATTCCTCTCTCTCTCTCTCTCTCTCTCTCTCTCTCTCTCTCTCTCTCTCTCTCACACACACACACACACACACAGACACACACACACACACACACACACACACACACACACACACAGAGTGGGGGGAGGTGAGCTCTGCACATCACTAGCTTGGAAAGAAGCCTGTTATCTTTGAAATGACAGGGAATCTCTCTCTAGATAGACAGATAGATACATTCATGATAATAAAATAAAACACTGAGCATGTTAAGAATGTCTTTCTGACAAGAAGCAACAGATATCAGCAATTGCAGGCAGGAAGGAAGGGGATTCATTTGTCTAAGGAAGCATTTATCCTTCTCACTCGCCCCCATCACCACCCATGTGAAACTGAACTTTCAGAAATAGTTTGCTGTACAGCAGCATGAAGGTCAGCAATTCAAAGAGAAAGTGTGTTACTTTCTAAATTGTGTGGATTGACAGTCAGAATCACACTCGATATACTTTGCATAAGCATCAACTAATCAACAGCTTTTTTCCCTGTGTTGCTTTAATTCTTATCAGAATTCTCACACACACACACACACACACACAACACACACACCTGAATAACTGAAGTGCCTTGAGGGGGGGACATCTTTCTCAGAATGCAGGCCTCCACAGACATTTCCGCACCCTTAGCTGCATCTCATGTATATGAAATAAAGTGGAGCAAAATGAAAATGAAGAAAGAATCAGGGCTAGCTTCTCATGGGAAAGAGGAGAGAAGGAACCGGAATAACAAAAGCACAAAAAGTGGTGGAAATGGGGCTGAAGGGGGGTGGGGAGGATGTTTGAAATCATCAGTGCTCCTGTTTCTGCTTCAAGAGGGCTGTGCTCTTTATTAACTGCAGATCAGTTTCCTTTGCAGGTGATGTGGTCCCAGCATTACATCACCAGAAGAACAGCCAAGGAACATCTCAGTGCCAGCATGACTGAAGCAGAGAGGAATGTATTATCACAGGCTACTGAGAAACTTGCCAATTCTTTCTTTGCTGGGGGTGCTGGAATGGAGAGAAGAGGGTAGCAAATTGCTCTTGTGAGAGTGAAAGAACGTGCTTGTAGAAAAAAGATTAGGGGGTCAAAGAATCCCCTGTGTGTACCTTTAGTCATGTATTTTCAGAGTTGGATGTGGGGAGACACCTCAGGAGTGCTAACAAAACCCAAATTTAGTAAGTTAGTGCTTAAGCAGTCTTACATGAATCTTGTCCCTGCTCCCACCCCCCTTCCACCATAACTCTGGCTCTGTATTGGAAGAAATTAATCAGTGTTTCTCTATACTTGCAATCCAACTGTTTTAGCGGAAGAACAGAGCTTCAGGGACAATGAACTAAATAAACTCCAACATGAAATCATTTTCCATGATTTTAACCAATACATGGTTTTTAATGCAAAAGCTGAAACTATAAAGTTTAAATTATTTGAACAGGTTTTTACTGTTACCATTACCAGAACAAGTTTTGCCTTGATAGCAGTTTTATTGTGTATCCTAAAGGATTGCTAATCTTTATGTATTCAAGTCATTATACAGCAGGAGTTTCAGAGGATTGGTGCCTCCTGAACTCTTCTGATTTTGTACGCATTTACAAATCATGTCTTAGTACATCCCAATGCAAACCACTTTTTGACGAGTTTTTTCTTCATTACAATTTGTACACATGTTGAACTATTCACAAGATAGTTTAATTACAGAAAACTATCACATGAGATGAGCCAATGAAAGTTGAAAACATAAAAATGCTGGTATGAATTAGCCTTAAATCTGTAGAAGGAGTACCAAAGACAAGATATTAAATTGAAGCAGGAATATATGATGAGTGGTGGCACGCTGTATTGGAAAAGCAATTCTTAAATGTGAACCCATTTCTATTTCTATCATATCTGTAATTCTAAAGTTTGCTGGAACAAAGTCATTTAAAAGCCTTCCATTTCCTTTCAAAGTAATACAGGGTTTATTCAACAGGCTCACTCTAATGCTCACCTTTCACGTTCCTGCTCCAGGAGGTTGGTGAAGTCATCACTCTTGTTCATGTAATCTGTATGTTTATGCTTCTCATTTTCCAGCTCATAAACTGTGCGTCGATGGCATTTCTCTGCCAATAGAAGCTGTTCGAGCATGCGCCGGTAAGTTTCTTTCTGCTTGTCTTCTAGTCTGTCCAGCTGGTTTATTGAAATATAAAATGAGCTGTGTTAATCTACTAAACAAGGATGTTGTATGACATGAATGTGACCTGGCCTCTGTTACTGTTCAGGAGCAGTTAGTAGGAACAAACCCTTCTGTTTTCCATAGAGTTAAATATTTAATTCACTCATCACAGACCAAGGAGGTTTCAATGCTTTTAACAAATCAAGCTGCTTAAGCAATGATGCCCTGAGCGAGTTTGGTGGCAAGGGATTTGGATGCAAGTTTGGAGGCATGGGGTGCTTATCAGGTAGACCACTTCCGATTTCATGAGGGGAAGAGATTTCACTGTGTGGGATGGGATGACTGCCAGCAAGGTTAGGACAGGTGGATCAGTCTGCTTCTAGTCCATGTCAGTTTTGCATATGCTCATTTCATAATGCCATTTCACCCCATTAATACATTAAACTTAATTTAAAAAAAACAGCATGAAAATTAATATTTCAGAGCATACTATGGAATGTATTTCTGCCTGAAATATATCTACTTCTAAACATATGTTATCTAAATGAATGCATTTCCAAGGCTGCACCCATGTCAGAAGGAAGATCCAAACTTGGAGGCTTCCAAGTACCCAGTGCCTAGTTAGGCTACTGCCAGCAGGATGAAAGGAGTGACTGAGGCCATTTCCTCTCTCACACACACACACTAACACACACCCATTTTCTCTAGGTGGGACTAGAAGAAGCTGTGTTGCCAGGGATAAAGCTGGAGATGTCATAGGATCTTTTGTATCCCGGACCTCTGCTCTTTCCTCCCCTCCTTGCCCACAGAAATGACCTGCTTCTGACCCCTGTGATGCCTGCCAAGGGCACTTTCGTGATTTTGGAAAACAGACACTGTGCTTCTTTCGACAATGGCTGCAAAGAGTTTGGGGGCTGAAATGAGGGGAGGGATTTGATTTTTAAGTCCCTCCCCGATACTCCCGAAGTTATAGCAGTGTTTATACTTTTGGGAGGAGAAACCCAACTATCCTGTGGGCCCTGGGGTACTCTCTAGGAATCATAGAATTGCTCTCTAAAGTTATTTTATCCTAAAATAAAATAAGCAATAAATACATATATTTTGTTCTGTTATTTGAACTGGAACTGCATCACAAAGTTTGCAGATGTGCAACATTTCATAAATAACAGCATTCCAATTCACATCTTATCCCAGGAGGTGTGGATCAGGTCAATTTGCTTTGAAATGTGGACCAAATGAAATCCTAACAAATCCCTACTTCAAAAGCCCATTTCTATAACTGCTCAAGATTAAATTGCACAAAGCAGTTTTAAAGCATTTATTGTGATTACTTTTTAATAATTACTATCAATGGCAGTCAGTAATCCTCCTCCTTTCTGTTTAAGGGTGAATACATTCTCTCTTCTAGTCATACAAAGCACTAGTAATAATAATCCACTGCTTTGCAATGGTTCTGCTCCTACTGGCTGACCAGGTCCAGAAGGTGGTGTTGGGGAATAGCTGTTCTGCCCCATGGCTCTGCCCCATTTACACTGGCTACCACTGGAAGTCTGGGTCCAATTTAAAGTACCTGTACTTACATATAAAGCCCTAAACAGCTTGGGCCCTGGGTACCTGAAGGACCGCCTTCTCCCATTTGTCTCTACCCATTTGCTAAGATCAAGCCAGGAGGTCCTTCTAAAGGAAAAATCTGCCAGGGAGGTTTTTAACTTAACTTTTTAACTTCTTAAGCATTTAGAAGAAGGGCTTTTTGCTGGTTATACCCCATCTCTGGAATACGCTTCTCAGAGAGGTGAACCTGGAACCATCACTGTTATCATTTCAGTGCCAGGCAAAGGCATATCATTTCTCCAGCTATTTTAATAGTTGATTTTATTGGTAATTTTGATTTTAACCTGACCCTATTTATTTATTTATTTATTTATTTATTTATTTATATTGTGATTTATATCCTGCCTTTTTCCTACAAAGGGCTCAAGGCAGCTTACATCATCTCTCCTCCTCTCATCTCATCCCCACAACAACAACCCTGTGAGGTAGGTTGGGCTGAGAGTCTGTGACTGGCCCAAAGTCACCCAGTTGGCTCCATGGCTGAGCGGGGACTAGAACCCAGATCCTCTGAGTCCCAGTCCCATGCTCTTAACCATTCTTGGCTTATAGTTTTATTTTAAATTTAAATTGTTTATTTAAAAGTTTTTATGTAATGATTTTAATTTGTGGATTATATTGCTTTATATTTTTGGCTGTTTTGTTACAGCTTGTTTGGCTTTTTGTAACAGCTTAAAATTTAAAATATAAATTTTAGTTGCTTGTAGCCCAAGTGTGGGCTAACGTAGAGCCATATAAATTGGATGAATGAATGAATGAATGAATGAGAGCTCTTTATTTTATACATAATCAGTGAGTTAGCTGGAAGTACAGGAATTTGTGAGCTATGATCTGAAACACAGAGGGTGAGTCCTCACTGCAGCCCCCTTCTAAGTAGTTTTCCTGAAATGTTTGCTTTTCAGGCTGTTGATGAACCTTCTCAACAGCTTCCAAACAGTTGTGAGGAGTCCCCTTAGTTACTGCATCAGTGGGAACTGACAAGACCCACAACACTTGGCTCTTGTGCTATATAACAATGTCAATAAAGCAGCTTATAGATATTGCTGGCCAGACCAGTTTGGGACAGGAACAGCTGTCTTGTGGTGAATACAGGGCAGCTGTACAACTGGGCATAGGAAGGTCGCTTAGTAAATTTCTCTGTCTATCTCTCCCTCTTCTTGGAGAAAATTCAACCAGCTTCCATGACAACATGCAGTTATAACTGTGGTTTGGTAATTGAATTGCTGTGCTGCTTAGAAATCTGCATTTGCAAGCATAGTAGTATCCCTAGTTTCAAACTTAAAGCTTCACAGCGCAATCTGGTGTGCAATCTGGTGCATGTTTCCTCAGAAGAAAGTAGCATGGTTTTCAATGGAATTTACTCCCATTTAAGTACACATAAAATTACAAGCTTATTTATTTATTATATTTATATCCCACCATTTTTCCTTCCAAGGAACTCAGGGTGGTTTACATAATTCTCCTCCTCCTCTCAATCTTATTCTCTGAACATCAACCCTGTAAAGCAGGCTGGACTGACGGTTTGTGGCTGACCCAAAGTTACCCTGTGAGCTTCATAGATGAATGGAGACCAGAACCCAGATCTCCTGAGTCCAAGTCCCACAATCTTAACCACTGCACCACAATGGCTCTCAAATTTGGACTCAGGAACTCTTTGCACAATGAAATGTGCTTATTGTTAACTCATTGTCACCATAGTTAGTCAACTGGGTACAACTTTAGTGTGTTCATATGTATATATGTTTACATGTAAACTGTTTTTATATTATGTACAGTATCAATATTCAAGGTTTTCATCTCTGTAAATTGCCCGGAGCGCTTTGGCTATCAGGTGCCACATTGACATTAAAGGTACCATGTGAGACACTAAGACAGAAGCAGAGAAAGGGACATGTGTCCTTGTGTTCTGTCATGGTACTGCCTATCGCTATCTAAAGCAGATAGCAAATATGAAGTACAAATGAACACAAGTTAAGAGGACATCCTGATGCACTGTTCCTAAAATGATTTGCAAGAAGCTTACCTCTGAAATTGGCTTCTCATAAACATCTTCTCCGATAGATTTATCTTGGGCAAGGAGAGCATCTCTGTGCAATATTCTTAGGACATTCCCTGGAGCTGCAGATCCATAGTGTGCCTCCAGGACCTCAGGCTTTGTTTTCTCTGTCTTCAGCATATGGATCACATCTTCTCTAGCCTGCAAGTTCACACTCGTATTACTATGTGAAAATCACTGTGTCAGTCTTGTTAACCAAATGAAATGGCAGCATTCTTTACAGAAGGGATACTACCAGTCCAGCTTCTTCCTCTGCTGTGCAGCCACCAAAGTGCCAAGAGTGCCCATAACTAAATAATACAGGGTTCCTTTCCTCTTTTTTTGGGAGGAGGGGGAAGCCTCATATACAGAGAAGAAAAGAAATATGAAGATAGGCTAAAGATTCTCTCTGTCCGTCTGTTTTTAGAAATAGGTCTAAGGGACAAGCTGGTGGAAAGTCTCTAAAAAAGTAAACAGTGTGAACAGAGTGTTTCTGTCCCAAAACCAGAAGTCAGGATCACCCTTGGAAATTGACTGGGATTAGATTTGAGACTGACAAGAAGAAGTACTGCTTTGCAGAACACATTAATATTAGTAATGAATTTCTGCTAGATGTGTAGTGGATCCTACGTGAGAAGGCTGTTAACACAGGATTATTCATGTTATGTATGTATACTATGCATATATTAAATTATATGTGTATATTATATTTTATATATTGTATATAATATATAGAATTATATTTATACTCTATTAACTTAATTATTATATTATTTTTATGATTAGACCAGGCGAAGGCAACCTTTTTCAGCCTTAGGTTCATTTAACAGTCTGAGAAACTGTCTTGAGCACCATCACAAAATGTCTATTATGAACGAAGAGGCTATGGACCACTAAGCTGCCCCCCAAAGCTGAGTACAAGGTTGAAATGGAGTCTGAGCCCCAATAAACCAAGCAATTTCTCTGAATTGCTTTTAGTACTAACAAGAACCTAATTCTCAGTGATACTGCCAATATGAAAAAGCAGGGCTTTTTTTGTCATAGAACGCACCGGAATGGCGTTCTGGCACCGTTTTTCCCAATGGATTTTACGAAGTGATTTTGAATCACCTGTCGGTGTAGCAGGTCAGCAGCAAACGTCATTAACATAGTGCCTGCGGGCTGCTTTTGTGTCCGCACCACCCGGCTTGGGATGCTGCTCAGCTTGGGATTGGTGTGTGTGGTCGCGTGCTGGCGGCATGAGTTCCGGCATCTTTTTTTTTTTTTTACAAAAAAAGCCCTGTGAAAAATCATTTGTTTTCTTTAAAAAAAATGGGAAAGATTCAATGGCTTGGCTCCAAAAACGTTCCAGTGGGTGCATTGATGCTCATGCACCATATTATCTACCCTTGGATTAGACCAATTCAAGAGGTCTACCCATAGCTCTTAGCTGTAAGAGCTAAATGAAGCTTGCAGGAATGGAAGCAGTAAACTTCACAGTAACAGATGCTAAGGACAAGGGAAGACTTCATGGCGGTGTACAAAATCTTTCATAGTGTGGATAGGGAGATTTCCCCTTCTTTCATAATACTAGAGCCCAGGCCCTCCCTATGAATGGCAGGATATTCATGAGGGAATTTACTTCTGTAAATGTCATGATGGTCACCACTTTGGAGGACTTGAAAAGGAGACTGGATTAATTCATGGAAGAAAGGACTATCAGTAGCTACTCAGCCTGATGGGTTATATGCTACCTTCACCACGAGGGGCAGTATTCCTAGCTACACCAGTTTCTGGGGAACTGGGCAGGAGGGTTCTGAGGCACTTGTGTCCTGTCTGTGGAATCCTGTGGGCAGCTGGTTGGCTTCTGTGTGAACAGAATGGTGGACTAGATGGACCCTTGGTCTGAGCCAGCATGGTTCTTGTTATGTTCTTATCACAATCAGGTCACGCTTTTTATTTCATGTTATTATTTTATTTCTTTTGGTTGTTTTTACCCACTTTTCAGTCATATCAATTACTAAAACATGGCTAATTAAGATCTGAGATTGAGATTGAGACTGAGATCAAACAAAATCAGATCCAGCTTTAACACTTAAATGTAAAATGTGGATCGTAAGCTTATCTTAACCACCATTTTAAAGGTTGGGAGGGGGAGCCTTTTAATGTGCCACACAAGGCCTGATACAGTGGCCAGCGAATGTTTCCCACACAGTGCTTGGAAACATTCTCCAAAAGGCTTATGGTGGTACTCATCAGCTTAACAGATGGTAGGACTTTTGTAAAGGTTTTCATCTTCTCCTTCTAAGAGGTGGGAAGATAAATATAGAAGCAGCTTCAGCAGCTCCAGTGGTCTAGTTGACATGAAAGGGCATGCCTGTGAAACTCCAGAGATGACTGCCTGATTGAAGTTAGGAAAAAAATCTAGACTAGTCATACCTGTGGCTACATCCAGTTCTATTCTGGTAGGATACACTTGGGGTTATTCAAGGCCCCTAGCATGTAGTCTTCAAACTTCTGCCATTCCTACTTTGTACAGGATGTAGCTGGAAGTAGTTGCTCTTTGGGTCAAAATATAATCTGTGAACAATCTGGACATTTACTGAGATTTTCTGTGCTGCCTGGAAATACCAGCTCATTGCTTGACTTATTTTAGGGCCATCTCTAACGAATGCTTTAAGTCAACATGTTTCTTTTCCTTTTAAAAACATTCTTGACTTCTAGGTACCAACAACTTTGATTTGTAGCTAATAGATGTTCTGTGTTAAGCCATTATTCAGGCTTTGTTGACTGAACTGATCTGTTGATTCAATAGTACAATGCACACTGTGCAGTTGTAAAGAAGCCAGACAATTAGCATTATTTTTAAGTAATATCCTCCACAACATTCTTGGAATTCATTGGGTATTATTAACTTCCCAGGATGTTCTGGCCTTCATGGTGGACAGCTAGGAACACATAGCTAAAAGCACCAAGAAACAGAAGATTAGAGTTTAGAAAGTTCATATTTCTTCTTCTGATTATACTACAATCGTAACTGTCAATCCCTCAGCATAAGTACGGTGTGTTACTTTGGTCAGTTTATTAATAGTGCAACAGCTGTTGTGTACCAAGATAAGAAATAAGATACAGTCATGGGTCCCCCATGTAGTGTTGTGGTTATACTAGTGGCACATTTTCTAAATTCTAAGATTTACACTGGCCTAACAGAGGGTATAAGTAAAACCTTACATTTTGAGCATTTAAAGAAATTCAGGTACCTGCTCTCGTACAGTCAAAAGTGCTATATGCCTAAGATGTTACCTTACAATCCAAAATGAAACTCTCCTGTTTTTTAAACCTCCCTACTGATTTCTAGTCCATTGCGGAGCACAATTTGAGTAGTGCAGGACCAAAGTACCACCAGATCAAAGTATTTGGCAACAGCTTTTCTGTTATTTGAGGTGGTAAATTCTAATACTCTTTAAAGATGGAGGTAAGGGGATCAAGAATTTCTTCTCCCACACTAATCACTTGTTTGTTAGCAATGTCACTTCCTAATTTCAGACAGAATGCCCTGTCAGCCTTCCCCAGCCCAGTAACCTCTAAATCCATTGGACTATAATTGCCATCATTACCATCCAGTTGATCATATAAGCTGGGAATGATTGGCATTGTAGTCCAACACATCTGTATGGGGACAGGGCAGAGAAGGCTTCCCTGTGGAAACAATGCTCCATCATGATGTAGCAATGATTCCCGGGAACACTATTGAAAGGATGGCTGATCCCACTGGGACATTGTAACATGGCATCTTTCCCACTGGGAATCCCACATCTTTAATGGTAAGCCTCCAATGCCTGCTATTACAATTCTTCCTATACCCTAAATACCAATGAATATCCCCCTGCCTTTTTGAGTGAGAGAGTTGGGGAGGTGACATGGCAAAAGCAGAGGGATTACTCAGCCCGGCACTAACTCAATGAGCTTTTAAGCCCTACAGACCTGGAACTAGGGAACTGGGGTAGCTAGAACAACACTCCCACAAATGATGCTTTGTGCACCGAGTTCATCATTTGAGACCCTTGCCTGAATGCTGCTGTGGAGGTGGGGCCCAGCCTTCTCATAAGACAGCATTTCCCACCAGACAGTTCAGGTACAGAATGTGAAATAAATTGAATAGAAAGGAAAAGAGTCAGCAGGTGGCTCTGAACAGTCAAGGTTAACAAGTGAGATTGGTCAGGCACTGACTGAGAGCCAAACCACCTTGGGCATTGGGAATAGGTGGGGGAGACATTGTAGAACAAGGATGGGGAAAGTGAATTCCTCAATCCAGGAAGCTGGCACCAGGCCAGACAGATGAACCAAATACATAATGCCAGGTGTTCCGATCGGTCTGCCCACAAACAACATGAGCCACTCCAAGGGTGAAGTCAAGACTCTAGGAAAAGGAAGGGAACTTCCAGTCTGGAATCAACTCTTCCCATGGGCAGAAGCTACTCTAGCAAACTGGCAAGAGAGTCACTTTGATGTGTATCACAGCAACACCCATTAAGCCCTCCATAAAGGACTATATGTCATGAGCTTTAATTCTGACCTGCTGGAAAGAAAAGGGACAGCCACTGTCAGTTGGTAGGAACTGAGAAAGGGCCATCTTAGTTGTGGTGCCATAGTAGTGGAACCTCTCATCAGAAAGGCTTTGTTGGCACCACCCACAGCTTTTTGGTGTTGGATGAAGACATGAGAACATACGAAAAGCCATAATGGATCAAACCAAGGGTCCATCTAGACCATTGTTCCATACACACAGTGGCAATCCAGTTGCCCACAGAATCCTTCAAGTAGGATGGGTGCTGCCCAAGCTCCTCAGCAACCAATGTATGCAGGCATGCTGCCTCTAGTAAAGGAAGCAGCACATAGCAAGCAGGGCTAGTAGCCACTGAGAGCCTAATCTTCCATGAATCTGTCCAATCCCCTTTTAAAGTCATCCAAATTGGTGGCCATCACCACTTCCAGTAGCAACAAATTCCATAGTTGAAATATATGTTGTGTGAAGATGTACTTCCTTTTATCTTTCCAAAACTCTCACCAATCAGCTTCATGGGATGACTCTGAATACAAATGTTATGGAGAGCAAGAAAAATCTCTCCCTCCCCATTTTCCCCACACCATACATTATTTTAAACAGCACCATCATTTCTGCC